AAGCCAGCTGGAAAGCATAAGATTTAGTAAACTCCTAGCTGTCATGGCATGATCTTAGTTTTTTTAATGTTGAGTTTCAAGCCAGCTGGAAAGCATAAGATTTAGTAAACTCCTAGCTGTCATGGCATGATCTTAGTTTTTTTAATGTTGAGTTTCAAGCCAGCTTTTGCACTCTCCTTTTTCACCCTCATCAAGAGGCTCTTTAGTTCTTCACTTTCTGCCCTTAGGGTGGTATCATCTGCATATCTGAGGTTGTTGATGTTTCTCCCTGCAATCTTAATTCTAGCTTGTGATCCTTCCAGCCTGGCATTTCTCATGATGTACTCTGCATATAGGTTAAATAAGCAGGGTGACAGTATACAGCCTTGTATTTTAACTGTACTTTTCTTGAAAAATTCATGTTTATGAGATTTTTAAATGGATAATGTTTTAAGTACTGGCCTGTTTCCATAATTTATTTTAAATGGCAGTGGTCTCTCCAGAGAGGAGCTGGGAAAAATAGAGCCCAGTTTGCTGTTACTGTTGATGAAATAAATCTAGATGTTTATATAACATTTGGGGAAAGTATATTAATACATATGTAGTTCATTGATCAGAGGGAACTGTTTTGTCCTGAATAAGTCTGTAATGAGTGGTACTATTTTTTCAAAGCTCCAGGCCCAGTTTTATCTAAAGTTGCCAGGGATTGAACCCAGGACCTTCATTATTCACTACTTATCATGTTTCTTCCCTGAATTTTTCATTCAGGCAATCATATCTCAACTTTAGCTTAAAAATTATTCACTTACTTACACAGGAGGATTATCAATCATAGCCACAATTTGCAGTATTTTTAAGAAAAACACAAGAAATTTAGAGAAACAAAATCCACCAAGACCTCTTGCCATTCTTAATTCTCGCTCTTGCCCAGCACAAACAAAAAGCATTAACCTTCCTTTATGGTTTTTTTTTTTGATCAACAGGAACCAGGATGTTTGTCTTATGCCAGCACCATTCTTTAGAATAGATTCTTTGCTTTATCAGCATGGTAAGGGAATTCTCCTAAGTGGGATCTCTGGTGGGATGCAAGGGCTGTTACGAAAGGAAAGGACTTTCTTTGTATGAACTTCAGTTATCTTAGGATCTGCGATGGAATATATGTGTGACCTTGGAAGAGAGGGGTGTGTGTGTGTGTGTGTGTAAGTAGGAGATGCCACCTAGGGAACGATCAGATAAAAGAGAAAGGAGTCCGCAACAGAATAATGGCCAGAGGAAAAAACCTTGGAAGGACCCACCCTAACTACTCAGGCAGTAAATAGGGCGGGCAGGAGATTTGTGCTTTCATACTTGCAAGTTTGTTAATGTAGCCTTACAAAAAAAGTAGAGTTAACTCATCTAGTCATGTTTCCTGTCTGGTTTACCTGGGAGGGCTGACAGGATCCAAGCTTATTCCTGAGCTTTTGGGGGATCTGTGTGAGAGACTGGCTTGCTTAGTGTATGGAAACACAAGTACTTCATTGCGGTCCTTGTGAGTTATACACATGGGGTATGCACCTATATAAAACCTGTTCAGAATCTTTGGCAACTTACAGAATTTCTTGTTGTGAGCCCCCATCCCTACCCCGTGCATAGCACAGATGGCTAGGTTAGGCTGCCATTGAAGCTTGCTTTCAACTGCCACAGCAATAACACATTTGTATTGTCGAAGGCTTTCACGGCCGGCATACGATGGCTGGTGTGGGTCTTCCGGGCTGTGTGGCCATGTTCTTGATGTT